AGGTATCTCACCCGAGAAATCGGGTGGGAAATTCTTTTTCAAAACCCATTCGCAGGCTAGAACCCATAGAGGCCTGCGGAGGAGGCTATGCATGTAGATTGAATTTCTCACATGAATGGGAAACGAGAGAATATATCAAACCCACGATCTCATAGGTGACAGGCGCTTACTCTGACGACTGGGCCGCCAAACCCCTTTCCTAGTATACTGCATGCTTTGAATTATTAAGTCTTCCTGCTTTTTAACGAAAATTCTTACAGACTCGACTAACTCGTTTAGTTGACTCATAGCTAGTTACGAACCTGTGTTTTTTTCTATTTAGAAAGATCTCGACGATAATGAAACTTCTTCTACGTTTCCTTGTGCTTTTCCTGTCCGCGGAGAAACAAAAAATATATTCCGAGGTGGTTTTGGACTACAGCAAGTGTCAGAAATTCTTCTATAAAAGCGCTCCCCCTGAAATCGGTTTTCTAAACCAACCTGAATTAGACTTGGCGCATATTTGTCAAAAATTGGGGAGCGTATATCACTTCGGTACCCTCTACAGCAAGTATTGGAGAATCCCTATCTACAGCGCTTATGAGTTACTAGATCCACAAAATTCGCTTACCGGACCGACCGGAGACCTTATCGTCATCAAAGAGTGTACGAGCGTGCAGAAAAGTCGTGGAACATGGTTTTTCGAACCACAGGTACATTTAAGCTAGATTCATGTCCTCGTAAACCATTCATATATTCATATAGGCAACATACAATCACGAATCTGTAGCATGGGATGGTGTGTGTGTGTGGAGGGGGGAAGGGGGGAGGGGTGGCATCACGCGAAGAAGACCAGCCATTTCACCTTTCACCTGTAATTTGAAAATTGAAAAATACGTTTTTATCACCGTCTAGATCTATATATAAATCACGTTTCGCGAGAGAAAAGTCGATCATTTCACGTCATGAGAACAAATATTGGCAATTCACGGATAGCAAAATACCCTTCATCCATCAGATTGTCAAATTATTTAAAGGCACGTTCGGACGGGTCATCTAGTGCCCGAACGATGGCTCCACTGATAATGTCAAAATGTGATAAGCTATTGTTCGGGCACAAACTATAGAGTATAACTATATGCACACTATTTGAACTTGAGTACCGAATCAATCTCACCATAATACCTATATTTACATTCGATGTTTGTTCGTTAGAATTTCGGAAGTAATCGACGGATGTTGTTACTGTACGTTTAGCATATTCTATGGTATAATCGGGACTTCCTATACTAGGACGTCCGTCTTAGAGCAAGCGAAGTATTTTAACGATAGCAATTACTTTCCGCATTTTAGCAAAATTTGGATTTTAGAATTAATCCTTCAGTTTTGTACATTCCTCCAATCAGCAATCCTGTTTCCACGGGGTTGCATTGTTGAACTGACGTTTAATCAATGCAGCAGAAAATTGCGTTGTTTTCTTCATATTTCATATGTCGGATCCAAGGATCAGGGTGGTATGGCCTCCTAGCTTTCGCAAACAACATGTTTTTGACCATGATGAAATAAAATGTTTGGCCATGGTGAAATAAATGTGTGGTATATATATATATATATATATATATATATATATATATATATATATATATATATATATATATATATATATATATATATATATATATATATATATAATTTAATCCTTGTTGTCCGTAATTGAACGAAGAGTGCTCAATACCAATATACGATAGAGCTTAAATAATTCTTTAATCTTAAAATATATTTGTCGCTACACTGTGTTCTATTCGCCTGAAGATCGCTTTGAAAGAAGCGTGAAACACAGTGTAGCGACAAATATATTTTAAGATTAAAGAATTATATATATA